CCACACATTATCCATTTATGTCCAATCGTAGTTATATAGAAGGCCGCGACTCTAATTTGATTTTTCCTTCGGAAATCACCAGCGAGCCTTTTCAACTGACGTTTGCAGCCCACTATGCCGTCATCTCAAAGAACGACTCTGATGGATTTACCCCTACTGTTTAAGATACTGCAGGAGACGAGGGCCATTGTCCATGGCACCTTAGTGAGCGAAACCGAAACTGCACTGGAATCTCTAGCTCCTTTGCAAAAGGAGAATCGACCGAGGCCCAAGGACGGCGTCGAATTTCGCAGTCAACCAGAACCCACTGTGACAAAGACACAACAGGCATCCCCGGAGGATATCACCTCAGCGGCACCCAAAAGGCTCGATACTGATGATTTCGACGAAATTCAAAAGCAGCGTCCAGATGCTTCAACTTGGGAAATCAACTTCGAACTGAACTTGCGTCGCAGCCCGATCATCCATCTTCCGGTCGAGATTTTACTCCTCATCATGGACAATGTAGAGCTAGCCGATCTCTTCATGCTGCGCCAGGCATCGTTCACCTTCTGGCGTCTGTATATGGACAACCGCTTCTCTCAACCGGGCGCGCGCCTCGACAAGTCGAGATTCCGGGGAGATGAGCAAACTGTCCGAAGATCGACAGAAGTTTCGTTCTGCACACCGTGCCTACAACATCGAGCTATGGAAATTACCGAGTTACAGTTGTATCACTTAACCCTGGCACACATAATGTGGTGTTACTGCTGCGACAGGTACCATCCAAGACTGTGGTTTTCATCAGAAGAGCGAAGAAGAAACTCGGTGGGTCGCGAATGCATTATCTCACAAGGGTGGGTTCATCTCTGCGCCCATCACAAGGTATCTCTGAAGGACGTCGGCCGTTGGACTGGCTCGGTGGCGGGAGGAGGAGCTACGCCTCACCAGAACTTGACTTACGTGAGATGCCAAACGTGTAGCGACCTGGCCATATCGAAGGCTGCTACCGCCAACCCCGGATACATCAACCCTCCAACGGTTTCTCTGTGCCTTTGGCTTCAGAAAGAACCTAGTGTTGTGTTTCATTGGACTCTACCCGTATTCGTCGTCAGAAAGGCTGACCGCGTCAACGACCAAGCCCTTACAGCTGCATTAGAGGCACTGAAAACACGACATGGCAGCATATTTTGCCCTCACGTCAATTCAAATCTTGAGCAGCTACTCAGACCATTTCATCCGGAGTATTGTTCTTGTCTAGGGCCTGATAGTCGAGTGGGTGGCGTTGTTCCATACAACCCTAAAGCGGGAAGATTGCCGGGGGCCGTTGCTTGCAAAGATGGCAAAGACGTCGCCGGGGACTACAGGTTTCTTCCTCAAAAGAAGCCTTTGCGACATATAATATACTGCAAGGGATGCAGCACGCTATATTCTTGGGACAGAAATAACGATCAGATCTCCCTGTCGAGAACGTCCGTCGCGCTTGCACCTGCAAAAGACGGCATGGAATGGGACCAATCTGGGATGGCTCTGCTCGATCCTGAATCCTTTGAGGTAGCATCAGATCCTGTGGCGAGGAATCTGATCTGGTGTGATGACAGAAACTGCGCTAATGGCCGAGAAGGAGGGAGGGTCTTCAGCAGCAATCTGACAGGTTGTGAATATCAAGAAAGCGCGGTACACTCGCCAGATGGTTCGGAATTGGCAAGGAGAAGCCCAATTATGGGCTGTGGCGAGGCACCCCACGCAGAGGTCCGTTGTTGTCGTTTCTGAAATCGTCAAGCTGCAAGACGATATTTCAGAAAGCGTTGGGGCAAGAACAAGAGAAGACGAAAGTCGACCAACGGCTAGTGAAGAGACCCATTTCATGCGTCATTCATTTCCAGAGGGTACCCGAAGAAGCCAGGGGCGCCCTATTTGGTGACAAGGAGATACATCATACCTCCGACTGATTCATCGTCTAGGAGCATGAAATGACGGCTAGGGAAGTGTGAAGACTTTGAGGGTTGCGGCGGATCTGATGCACATTGTCTTCGCTGCTGTAAATATTGTTTTCATCTCGACGTCTAAACAACACAGCGCTCATAGGAAGAGTCGCTTAAGATGTAAATACAACCTATATTAAATCACCCTCCAGCCTTATGATTCTTTATAAGTCTAAGCAACTATAAGTTACAGTAGCCCTCTTATTACTTTAATATTCAACATATTTGCGAGGATGAAACACTTTAGTTTCTCGAATCTTACTCCTAGAAATCCGGATCATGAAGCGCCTCGTTGAACCAACGTATACATATGTACAATACAAATATATGTGTAGCACTGTTAGGTCGCAGAATGCTCTTAATAAATTCTTAGCACAAGGACAAAACGCTGAGACATAACTAACTAGACATTATTCACTGCAGTTATTCATCATTAGAAAAATTGGTTTGCATGAGGGCCACTCACATGGGGCTCATCCAATTGGCTGGCTCGGATATCTTGTACCTCATCTCGTCACTTCCTTCTGATGCCGAGGACGCGCCGCCAACCAGACGTGGAATTAGACTCATCGGACTGGGAAGCCACGTTTCCGTCCCTCAGCGGACAAACTTCGTTGCCGAAATACTCTACACGCCCTCGCGCTGAATAACCAACCACCGAAGGAACCGAGATTGGGTGCGTGCGCCGCCCATATCGTCCAATGAACACCTACCGACGTAGCCCTACTTTGTGCTCTCATTAGCAGAATGTCGGATGAGAAAGGTTCCTGAAACGAGAGTTTCCAACTCTGTCTTTCCCAACTGAGAAGGAGGGGCGGGACGCTATCGACGGCGCGGGTTTGGCGCGGGCGGAGAGTGGGGGGAACCGGCCGTCGCTGCTCGGGGAGGCAAACAAGGTTACTGTTTTCGTCCCATCCGGCTCGGTCTTCGGTGCCCCACTGCTGGCCGGTGCCCGCTTACGATGGCGATGGTTGCCGGCTGGTTTGACTTCATTGCTGAAGGATATAAGAGATGGATGTCTTCCCGATGCGGAGTCTATATGAGCAGGATAGTCTGCAGCAACCGACACCATTAACTGTACAGGAAACTCAACTACATCGACAATTTTCGCAACACAATCATGGCCATCACTCCAAACGAGCTCCCGGGCCTAATTTCCCAGCTGTCCGCTGTTGTTAACGCGAATCGAGATGGAGCACCAACCCCGGAAATGGAGCTCATCGCGGAGAAGATTTTATACGCGACGCGGCCGTACGGTAACGACGCCATGAATCGCATCTACCCGTACGTTGAAATCGTGACCATCAGACTGTTCATGGACTGGGGCGTTTTCGAGAACATCCCTGACGAGGGGACTATTTCATACGCGCAGCTGGCGAAGAGGGTGGATGCTGATGAGTCGATTCTCAGTAAGTGCTAAATTCAAGTCCCCGGCTCGATGTTCCATGAAACCTAAGACATATCAGGACGTTATGCCTGGATTCTTGTGGCGCGCAACATACTCATCCAGACGGGCGAGGAGCTGCTGTCTCACTCGGAGGTGTCAAAGAAGTACAGACCTGGCAACCTGGAAGTGAGATTGGCCACGTTCTAGTATGTAATCCACGAAACTACTCATTCAAAGTGCAGCTGCTCACTTCTCCAACAGCTACGATGAGATGTTCCTCACGGCGGTGAAGATGCCAGAGTACTACCGCCACTACGAACGCCGCGAGCCGACGCAGCAGAACCACACGCCGTACTCCTACGGCCACGGCGAGCCGGACAAGACGCTGTGGGAGATCTGCCACAAGGAGCCCGCGCGGTTGAAGCGGGTGATGGACGCCATGGACACGGTAACGCACGGCCCGATGATCGGGAAGGATTACGACTTCAGCTGGCTCAAGGAGAAGATCGCGGACCCGGCGCAGAAGGACAGGATCCTGTTTGTGGACGTCGGCGCCGGGAAGGGGCATATTACGAAGGCGATCCTGCAGGAGAACCCGTTCATCCCGCATGACCGCGTGGCGCTGGAGGATCGGGACGAGGTTATGAAGCAGGTTGCGGCGAATCCTGATCCCGGGCTTGCGGGGGTGAAGCTGCAGAGTCATGATTTTCACAAGGAGCAGCCTATCAAGAGTAAGTTATCGTCACCCTGAAGAGGAGAAGATCCAGGTTTGGCTAACGCGTCGCAGAGGCATTCATCTACTTCATCTGCCGCTGTCTTCACAACTACAGCGACGAGGTATCGGGTAAAATGTTGACTCATTTAAGCCAGGCCATGGGATCGGACAGTAGGGTGCTGGTTGCGGAGATGGTCATGGATGACCCGCCGCAGCCGTTGCAGGCCATGTATGACTTCACCATGCTTGACATTGGCGGGAAGGAGAGAACGGCGAAGAACTGGGCTCAAATGGCTGCCGGAGCAGGGTTGAAGGTGAACAAGATATACGGCACGAGTAGAGAGATGAAGGTTGTAGAACTTGTCAAAGCTTGAGCTTTGCAGTGGTTAGATATTGTCTTATCACGAACGAGAATTTCAAGCAATTGAACTATCATGAACAGATTCTTGACTGAATGCATATTCCTAGCGCTCATCGTTTCTCCGGCAAAAACTCAACATGAGCCGAGACGGAAGCTGACGGTCACGAGCTGTAGCTCATTTCTCAAAATTAACCTAGCCCTCGCGGGCTTCCATCAGGAACATGTCGCCTAACCGTCCAAATAAGGTAGGTAACCTCCCAACGCATGCCACCATCGTATTCACATTCAACCTCCCAACCAAGCCTTGGCCCAAGCGACCAACCGAGATCTTGGCATATAGGTCTCCTTCCCGTCTGGTCCAAAACAGGATCGAGACCCGCCGGACTGCAACCCCGTATACGCAGGTTCCGCGCCCACGCACACTTGCCGAGATGTTACGATGCAATCGCATGATGGCTTTCTCGAGGATCCGAAGAGGTTAGACTTTGCTGTATAAGTTGGGGCAGCTTTGTCGCTGCGTGATGCAGGGAGGCATGAGAAGGACTTTGAGCTCCAGGTCTCGCTCCCGACATCATGCCTTCATTCTTGACCTTGGCCGTTGCGGTGCTGCCTTTCCTGGGTAGCACCAGTGCCCTCTCGAAACGACAGAATGGGTCTTTCGTCACTGTATCGAATCGCTACATTGTCGAATTTGCCCAGGTAAACACACCGCAGCTCCAGTCAAGTTGAACGAACTCTCACCATACACACAGGGCCAAGCCTCTTTGCAAGGAGCAGTCGCCTCCCTCCCCGACATCGAAGTCGTCAAGACATTCCAAAACGACATCTTCTCCGGCGCATACGTCAAGACCGAGACGCACGACGTAGCCAGCCTCCAAGCGCTTCCCGACGTCGTCAAAGTGTGGCATAACCATGTCGTCAAGCTTGACCCCGTCAAAGTCGCGCGGTCCTTTAGCGACGACGCGGCTTCGGCGAACTACTCCACGCACCACACGACTGGCGTGAACAGGCTGCATGAGAACGGAGTCTTTGGGGAGGGCGCGAAGGTTGGCGTTGTTGATAGCGGGATACAGTATTCTCATCCTGCAGTGAGTTCTTGATCGGCCCCTTGGATGTCGCGGTTCTGACATGTGTAGCTCGGCGGCGGATTCGGCGCGGGTTTCAAGGTTGCTGGAGGGTATGACTTTGTTGGTGACGGAAGTAGGTGATTCGTTACCCAGCCCTCTGATTCCGCTGTTGATGGTTCCCAGACTGGCCCGATTCGGGCGAGAAAGAACCCGACCAAGATCCGCTCGACATTCTCGGCCACGGAACCCACGTCGCGGGCATCGTGGCGGGGTCTTCTACAAAGTCATTATCCCTTCTCTGAATCACTTCAAACCCCTGTACTGACGTGACCAGCTTTGTCGGTGTCGCCCCGAGAGCCTCGCTCTACGCGTACAAAGTCTTCACCTCAACAGGCGAAACAGACGAAGCCACACTGATCGAGGCGTTCCTCCAAGCCTATGATGACGGTGTAAGTGCCCCCATTTTGCCTCAACACACCTTCACAGATCTAACAACCAAAAGATGGACATCATCACCGCCAGCATCGGCGGCCCCAACGGCTTCTCCGACAACGCCTGGGCCGAAGTAGCCTCCCGCATCGTCGACCAGGGCGTCCTCGTCACCATCGCCGCCGGAAACTCAGGCGACTCCGGGCCCTTCTACGGCTCCTCCGGCTCCTCGGGAAAGAACGTCCTCGCCGTCGCCTCTGTCGAGGGCGAGGCCGCGCCGATGCCGGCCTTCAAAGCTACCTTCGCCCTCCGCAACGAGACCTCGTCCAGCAGGATCGGGTACATCCCTTCTGTGCTGTACTTCCCCGAGTCCGTCGCCGGTTGGCCCATCGTGCCGCTCGGGCTGGACACTAATGCTACTGCCGAGGCGTGCGAGCCGTACCCGGCAGGCTCACATAATCTGACCGGGGTTGTGGCACTGGTGCGGCGCGGCGGGTGCGACGCCATGACGAAGCAGGCGAACCTCAACGCCCTTGGCGCGCAGTACATCCTCATCTACAACAACGAGAGCCCGCTCGCGCAGCTGTACACGGATAACTACCAGAGCGCGCTAGCCGTAATCGAGAGACACTCAGGCGAGGCCATCGTCGAGGCTGTCAAGGCCGGGGCCAGCGTCACGGCCGACTTCTCCGCCGGACCAGACGACGTGGTGGGGTTGCCGCGCGACTTCGCCGGGCTCCCGTCGTCGTTCACTTCCTGGGGCGGGTTATACGACCTCGAGCTCAAGCCGGATATCGCTGCGCCCGGCGGGGAGATCTTCAGCGCGTATCCCACGGACGGGTTCTCGACGCTTAGCGGGACAAGTATGGCGTGTCCGTACGTAGCGGGCGTGGCGGCGTTGTATATCGGCGTACACGGCGGCCGGGGCGTTCACGGGCCTGGCTTCGCCAAGATGCTTGCGCGGAGGATCATTGCCAGCGGGAAGACGGTGAAGTGGTGGGACGGCGTTCTCGACATGGCGGCTCCGCCTCCGCAGGTGGGCACGGGGCTGGTTGACGCGTTCAAAGTCGTGAACGCCACCACGTCGCTAGAGTTTGAGAAGTTCGCCCTCAACGACACGGCGAACTTTGCCGCTTCCCATGAGGTTGTGGTGAGGAACGAGGGGAGCGGGGATGTGGCGTACACGTTCTCCGTAGAGGACGGGGCCGGGATGGAGATTCTGCTGCCGCTTGATACGTCGGTTAGTAGCTCGCCAAGGGTGAGGGCTCTGGAGGAGGTTCAGCCGAGGGAGATGCCGGTTGAGGTTGTTTTGCCGGAGGGGTTTACGCTCAAGGCTGGGGAGTCGAAGACTGTCAGGTATGTCTTCTGATGTTGATGATGAGGAAGACGGGCTAACGAGTGCAGTGTGACGTTCCAAGCACCCGACTTTGGTAACCCGGCAGGATTGCCGCTGTACAGTGGGAAAGTCATCGTGAGTGGAAGCAACAATGAGTCCCTCGCCATACCGTACATGGGTAAGAGACTGCCGACGCCGGGCGTTCTGGGTTTAATCACACATCTAACCGTATAATAGGTCTCGCGGCAGATTTGAAGAAGGAGATGGACGACATGTACATGCACGGCTTCCCCAAAGCAACGACGACGTACAACTTTATCCCCATTGAAGAGAAGCCTTAGTGAGTTGCCAACTTGCCTTCTTTAGACGAAATTGGCAAGTCGCTAACACGGTTTACAGCTGGACGAATGAGATTTGGGAGGATGAGGATTGGCTTTGGCTGACCATTCAGATGAAGTGGGGGTCCAAGGAGCTCCGATGGGACGTAAGTTTCGCATCCCCATTCTGGTATTTGAAGGAGCACCTGGTCCTGACCACCCTTGCCAGATCTACGAGGCCGGATGGAACGAGAGCAACTGGAGCTACCCGCCGGCGGTCGGCGAGGACGGTTACATTGGGTCGGTGGCGTACTACGACCGGTCCGACACCGAGTACTGGAGCCCGTTCTCGGACTCGAGCGGGCCGTTTGACGTGATCCCGTTCCCGCTGGAGAACGTGCACCGGAACGCGATCTACACGTCGTACCGGCATACGTTTTTCTGGTTCGGCGTGTTGGCGAACGGGTCGCAGATCGAGCCTGGGAATTACACGTGAGTTCTTCACTGGAGAGTATCTACACAATGCGAGACGAGATGCTAACGAATGCGATTGCGACAGGATGCGATTCGCTGCCCTCAAGCCGTTTGGAGACCCGGCCAAGTCTGAGGACTGGAGCATCTGGAAGTCTCCTCAGGTTTCCATCCTGGGAAAGTTTGGGCCGAGTCCTTGGGGTTGACAAGGGTGATGGTATGGTTATGTGACGGATGTATGTCATGGAGACAACCATATAATATCTACAAGATGGCTATGATGTAAAAGAAACACATTGTGAAGCCGCGCGTTCGTCTTCCAAGTGAAGTCTGTCTTGTCAACAATGTCAATTCAATGTGAGCACGCGATTCGGTGAGGGCCGCTCGGATGGGCCCCTCGGCGGGAGCGGGCTCTGGTGGAGGCGCTACCGCCCGGAAAGGCAGGTGCTTATCGCTGGCAGCAGCAGTGTTCCCCGCCGAAGCCGGCGTCCCCGCGATAGCTGTGGGTCTCGATGCGGGGCACTCACCGTGTCAAGTGGGGCCCTCCAATCAGCGTGGTATCGGCACTTTATTGACATGTTGCGCCCAATTGCCCAATCGCAGCGGGCGTTTCTCGCAAGGTTCTGTTGCTGGCCGTAATGGTAACAATATCTCGCTGAAATTACAGCAGAATTGTTTTCCCAAAAAATCCCCACGGCCTGATAAGAAGCGGGCAATCACATCACCACCCCCCGGGCATCACGTCGATTGGCCCGGACCAGTTCCCCAGTTATCGTCTTGTTTGTTACGTTTGTCAATTCTCGATTGAATCAGACGAACTCTCTCCAACACAAGCTCTGCCAAAATGTCGCACGGGAACCTGCAGCGGACCGACCAGCCTGTTGGATCCTTCCCTACCACCCTACTTACTCACTAGGTAGCCAATCTATGGATACCAAGGCGACCGTTTTCCTATCACGTTGTGGGCGCAATTGACACCCATGCCAATCACACGAACGATAACGGCCATGGGTGAACCACGGTGACTGGCAGTCGATCACTAGGTAGCTTCCCTGATAAAGCTTGGCCGCGCCTGCTGCAGTTGCTGCCGCGATTCCCGCTCCAGCTTCCCAGCCCAGCCCAGCTCTTCTTCCTCGGTCTCTGACGCAGGCGCACCTCTCCCCGCCGACAAGCTCACACCGCGGTCCAAGCCAGCCAGTCTCTCGAGAGCTCCATCGCCATGAAGTCGTTCGCGACCACCGCCGCCGTCGCGCAGCTGCTGCTCGGCCTCCTGCAGCCCGCCTTCGCGGCCCCGAGCACGTATGCCGGGCCCCCGAAGCTGGGCGCCGTCGCCTCCGAGACGGACATCTGCAGCGAGATCGGCACCAACCTGCTGAAGAAGGGCGGCAACGCCGCCGACGCCCTCGTCGGCACCGTCTTCTGCATCGGCACCGTCGGCATGTACCACAGCGGCATTGCGGGCGGCGGCTTCATGCTCGTGAGGTCGCCCAACGGGACCTACGAGTTCATCGACTTCCGCGAGACGGCCCCCGCCGCGGCGTACGAGGACATGTACGCCAACAACACGGCGGCCAGCATGTACGGCGGCCTGGCAAGGTGAGTCTCAACAACACCATTCTCAGAAAATGCGCCAATACTAACTTTACGCAGTGGTGTCCCGGGTGAGCTTCGCGGCTTGGAGTACCTGCACAACAAGTACGGCCGCCTCCCCTGGGCCGACCTCGTCGCGCCCTCCGTCAAGATCGCCCGCTTCGGCTTCCGCGTCAACGAGGACCTCGTCAAGTACATGAACGCCGTCACCCCCAACGGCAACTTCCTCACCGACGACCCCTCCTGGGCCATGGACTTCGCGCCCCACGGCTACCGCGTCCGCCTCAACGAGACCATGACCCGCAAGCGCTACGCCGACACCCTCGAGGCCATCGCCAACGGCGGCGCCGACGCCTTCTACACCGGCGCCATCGCCAACGCCACCATCGCCGCCCTCCGCGCCGCCAACGGCACCATGACCCTCGACGACCTCGCAAACTACACCGTCGCCATCCGCGAGCCCGCGCACATCACCTACCGCGGCCACAAGCTCACCGCCTGCAACGCCCCCTCCGGCGGCATCGTCGCCCTCAGCGCGCTCAACACCGTCTCCGGCTACGAGGACTTCGGCGCCCCCGCGAGCCGCAACCTCTCCGTCCACCGCCTCGACGAGGCCATCCGCTTCGCCTACGGCCAGCGGTCCAAGCTCGGCGACCCGCTCTTCGTCGACGGCATGTCCGACTACACGGCCGCCATGATCTCCCCCGAGACCGGCGCCGAGGTGCGCTCCAAGATCTCTGACTTCCGCACCCAGAACGTGTCCGCGTACAACCCCGAGGGCTTCGAGTCCCTCGAGACGCCCGGAACGTCCCACGTGGCCACCGCCGACGCCAGCGGCCTCGCCATCTCGCTCACGACGACCGTCAACCTCCTCTTCGGCTCGCAGCTCATGGTCCCCGAGACGGGCGTCATCATGAACAACGAGATGAACGACTTCAGCATCCCCGGCTCCAGCAACGCCTTCGGCTACGTCCCCAGCCCGGCCAACTACATCCGCCCCGGCAAGCGGCCCTTGTCTTCTATTTCCCCCGTCATCGTCGAGAAGCCCGACGGCAAGCTGTACTTTGTGATCGGCGCGGCGGGCGGTAGTCGTATTATTACCGCCACCATCCAGAACCTGCACAACGTGCTCGACCGGAACTTGACGGCGCCCCAGGCGCTCGCGGAGCCCCGTCTGCACGACCAGCTTAGCCCGAACATTATCAATGTCGAGTACTCGTATGATAACAGCACGATTAGCTACCTGCAGTCGCTCGGCCACAACGTCACGTGGGTTGCGCCTGGTAGCTCCTCCGCGCAGGGTGTGAGGTTGTTGGAGAACGGCACGTTTGAGGCTGCGGGTGAGCCGAGGCAGAAGAACTCTGGCGGTTATGCCGTGTAAATGCCTGGGATTGGCATGATGTGAAAATAGAGTGGTGAGCCAGGCGTAAAAAGGTGTCTAGTTATATGAGTGACCCAACACCCTAACAATGCGCCAATAGGGCGCTCAAAAGCTGCATGATAAATAAATATTGTATAATACTGTCTAGTTCTGGACCAAATTCCTGTGAGCTGGTGAACACTATTACTACCTTGTGCGAAGCTACGCCGTGATTGCAGCCCGTACTGCGGTTGAGGTTCCACTTTTGGGCCTCATGCTGTTGCGCACACTCATTGGAGCATGGTGAATCGGTAAATACTCTTGGCGCAAGGCAACATCCCCCATTTGAAATGGTCCGCCTGCGCCGTGTCCGCCTTACTGATGTGATGCAATCCCACTTCTGAACTGTTATTGGAGACCATTTCGGGAATATTACCTGAACGAGAGTTGAGTTATGCCTAATCAACACCTTCAATTCCGAAATATCAGGTTACACAGCAGCATGCAGCACTCTTGCGCCCCATACACGAATACTTGGAGGGATTGGGCTTTAAATAACACATATGGAACCTGTCTCAAGATTTTTCCACGTGAAATTTGGGCACCCCTTTCTCTTTTTCTTTATTCTGTCGTTCAGTACTTCGTAAATCCCATCCTCGACTCCCTAAAAAATACTTCTTATTTCTTCAGGTGCATTCGGTCTGCGAAGCTTCATCCCAAAAGCACCGTGAAGATGTCCGACGCTGACGAAGGCCAGCCCTTGGCGTCAAGTGCCGTGGATGAAGCCCTCAGCGAGCCAGACGTACCATCAAATGGTTCAGACCCAGCGGCAAGGCATTCACCAGAGTCTTCGAACAAATCCTCTCATCATGAAGAAGACGTCGCTCAACAGCTCGCGGAATTGAAAGCGTTGAACGAAAAGCACTCTCAAATCATCAGCCTGCTCCAGACCAGGTTTGACATCCCCGTTGATATCTCAGAGAGTGCTTCGAGGCTGTTAAATGACGTACAAGATGGCTGGAAACGCTTGAATACATCCCGCAAGTCGGCCGGGGTTGCTTACAAAGTTGATTACGAGGATGTTCACAAAACCTTCCTCCTTCAAATTCTACCATGTGGACCCCAATTCATGGGACTCGACGTCAAAGAAACAAGTTGTTATGGGGAGGATCCTGGACAAAACCAAACAAGCACACACGAAAGCGAGAAACTCATTAAGGAAGCCGAGTGGAGGTTCGGAGACGGGATGAGGAGGGGCTTCATGATTGAGCACTCGTTCCCAGGATTGTTATCCAATCAATCGACATGGAGGCCTGAAATTCTCCTCAAGGGCAAACACTCCAGCAACGAAGAGGAACTTACCTGGCCTAGCAATTGGGACTTTCTGTTCAAAGAGAGTTTCCGAAGACAAAGAGAGCATTATTGGTCGTTCTTTGTCGCAAGTTCGCTGGAGGATTGGGGGTTGTACCATCGCGGTGGGTTTTACAGGTACGGCGAGCTTGACAATCCCGGTGCCGCATTTGATATGCATCGCATCTTGATGCCCTTCTATGAATTATGCATGGAGGTACTTATTTTTCAAACTTAAAAAACTAAAGTCGAGGCTGATGATTTTCCTTTTTTCCTTGATATAGCATTACACACCCACGATTGAGTGGCTTAATCTACTACCTCTTTTGTATGGCACCATATGGTAAGTAATTACGGCTCCCTCTATGTCCTTTGGTGGGTTCCTGCTGAAATGAGACCAGCACATTTCATGTCGGACTGTCTCAAAAGCTTCTCAGTTTTGAAGATATAGCAACCGTCATTTCAATGTCATCCGAGCCCCACAGAGCTGGCAGTTTATCACTCTTCACGCGCCATTTTGGCCCGTGGATGGGCCATGGGGGTTCGGCGGGGTCATCGGTATTTCCTTGCCGAGCCGTAAGAGCTATTAGCCGAGGGATGCTAGACGCCGTCGATTTGCGAGAGTTTACCTACTGCATGAAGTCGTTCAAATTTACCGGCGAGAATGAAACCGGGAATGCGAACAAGATGGAAGCCAGGAAGACTAGCTCATCGTCTGACAGAGAAACTCCCCCCAGTGGCCTTCGATTCGAGCGGGACGCTCTAAGCGTCGAAAAGGCTCCAGGAAGACGAATAACATTCCTTGAGCACAGATACTCGACGCATCTGACAATGACGCCGCTTCGCGCTCCTATAGGGAACTTTCGTCTATTCACGATAACGGATTATGTTGAAGGTCACCCTTAT